ATAGGTACATACAGCAGGGTAAGGTTTATAATTGGGTGAAGGATAATTACAATTCTGTTAGTCAAGAACTGGGTAACATAAAATGGGAACAGATGCTGTCAGGGAAGAGCACTATTGAAATGTGGAGATTGTTTAAGGAATGCATATTGCGTATGCTCGATATGTTTGTCCCTAGCAGGCAAGGAAGATGCGGTCGAGTGAGGGAGCCTCGGTTCTCAAAAGAGGTCGAACGTCTGGTTAAGAGGAAGAAGGATGCTAATGTAAGGTTTAGGAAACAAGGAATGGAAAAGGCTCTAGAGGGATACAAGTTATCCAGGAAGGAGCTGAAGAAAGAGCTTAGGAGGGCTATAAGGGGGCATCAGAAAACCTTGGCAGATAGGATCAAGGAAAACTCCAAGCCTTTTTACACATACGTGAGGAATAAGAGAATGACCAGAGAAAGGGTAGGGCCGATCAAGGAATGTAAAGGGAATTTGTGCACGGAGCCTAAAGAGATAGGAGAGGTCCTTAATGAATACTTTTCTTTGGTATTCACAACTCAGAGGGACCCAGTTGTAGAGGAGGACAGTGTGAAACAAGCTGGTCAGCTAGAGGAGGTCGATGTTAGTAAGGAAGATGTGCTAGGAATTTTGAGGAAGTTGAAGATAGATAAGTCCCCCGGGCCTGATGGGATTTATCCAAGGATTCTATGGGAAGCGAGGAAAGAGATCGCAGGGCATTTGGCGATGATCTTTTCATCCTCACTGTCCGCGGGTATTGTGCCGGAAGATTGGAGAGGGGCAAACGTCATTCCCTTGTTCAAAAAAGAGAATAGGAATAACCCCGGAAATAACAGGCCAGTTAGTCTTACATCAGTGGTGGGCAAATTATTGGAAAGGGCTCTGGGAGATAGGATTTATGATCACTTGGAAAGGCACAGTTTGATTCGTGATAGTCAGCATGGATTTGTGAGGGGTAGGTCATGCCTCACAAACCTTATTGAATTCTTTGAAGAGGTGACCAAACACGTGGATGAAGGTAGAGCAGTGGATGTGGTATACATGGATTTAAGTAAGGCGTTTGATAATGTTCCCCATGGTAGGCTCATGCTGAAGGTAAGGAGGCATTGGATAGGGGGAAATGTGGCAGATTGGATTCAGAATTGGCTGACCCTTAGAAGACAAAGGGTGGTAGTGGACGGAAAATATTCGATGTGGTGCTCAGTTACGAGTGTTGTACCACAAGGATCTGTCCTGGGTCCTCTTCTATTTGTGATTTTTGTAAATGATTTGGATGAAGGAGTGGAAGGGTGGATTAGCAAGTTCGCGGACAATATGAAGGTGGGTCATGTTGTGGACAGTGTGGAGGGCTGTTCTAGGTTACAAAGGGACATTGATAGGATGCAGAGCTGGGCTGAGAAGTGGCAGATGGAGTTTAACCCTGAAAAGTGTGTGGTGATTCATTTTGGAAGGACAAACTTGAAAGCAGAATACAGGGTTAACGGAAAGATTCTTGGAAGTGTGGAGGAGCAGAGGGATCTTGGGGTTCATGTTCACAGTTCCCTGAAAGCTGCCACCCAGGTGGATAGAGTTGTTAAGAAGGCGTATGGTGTGTTAGCTTTCATTAATAGAGAGATTGAGTTCAAGAGCCGTGAAGTTATGCTCCAGCTATACAAAAGCCTGGTTCGGCCACATCTGGAGTATTGTGTCCAGTTCTGGTTGCCTCATTATAGGAAAGATGTGGAGGCGTTACAAAAGGTGCAGAGGAGATTTACCAGGATGTTGCCTGGAATGGAGGAAAGGTCTTACGAGGAAAGGTTGAGAGAGCTAGGGCTTTTCTCTTTAGAATGAAGAAGGATGAGAGGTGACTTGATGCAAGTGTACAAAATGATCAGAGGTATAGATAGAGTAGACGGCCAGAGACTTTTTCCTAGGGTGGAGGTAGCTATTATGAGGGGGCATAGTTTTAAAGTGAGTGGAGGTAGATATAGGGGAGATGTCAGAAGTAGGTTCTTTACTCAGAGAGTGGTAGGGGCGAGGAATGCATTGCTGGAGAGGGTAGTGGAGTTGGCCTCATTAGGGGCATTTAAGCGGCTATTAGATAGGTGTATGATAGTATAAGGTAGGGGTGGAGGTTGGATAGACCTTAGGATTAGGGTAAAAGTTCGGCACAACATCGTGGGCCGAAGGGCTTGTACTGTGCTGTACTGTTCTATGTTCTATGTTCTAACAAGCGATATTCTTCCCTAAATAAACCATTTGGACTTTTACAAGTGAACATTTTGTAAACATTAATTGATGTGAGTATCACTAGCAAGGCGAGTATTCATTTCCCGTATTTAATTGGCCTTAACAAGGTGGTGATGAGCTACCACATGGAACCGCTGCAGCCTAACTGGTATAGCTATACCCACAGTGCGGTTTCTATCGAATACAAACCTTCAGCGTGAACAATGTCCATAATTTGCCATTTATTTGTTACTACATATCAACAACCACAGCGCTTCATGAAGGCAACTCACTACCACCTTCTTCAGGATAATTAGAGATGGAGAATATATGCTGGCCTAGCCAGCAACATGCACATCCCTTGAATGATTAAAACAAATTTCATCCTAAACTAGTGTTACTGTTCAGCAATAAGGCAAGAGTGAAGATCGTGGAAAATTGTGCAGTAGCTAAGGGTTTTAAGATGATGTGTTCGGGATGTGCTGAGGAAATTCACTTTGCTTCCTGATCATGCAATACCTGAACTGGGAATATTACACATGGTCACATGAAAAATAATGGACAGGAAAAGACAAATTGCTCCATACAACAACATTATGCATTGTAATATATACACTTCTCACCTACAGTTGATCAATTCATTTTGACGTATATTGTGGGGGACCATTTATTTGGTTCTCTCACATATCAAGTTGAACATGTTTGATAAAGGAAGAGAAAAGGGAAAACTGTCTCTTCACATTCATATGATCATGGCTGATAATGCAACTCAGTACCCTTTCTCCCCATACTCATTGATCCCTTCAGCCCTAAGAACTATACCTAACTCCTTCTTGAAAACATTCAATGTTTTGGCCTCAATTACTTTCTGTGACAGAGAATTCACAGGCTCACCACTCACTGGGTGAAGAAATTTCTCGTCAACTCAGTTCTAAATGGCCTACCCTGTACGTGTGGTCTGTGACCCCTGGTTCTGGATTCCCTGATCATTGGGAACATCCTTCCTGTATTTACCCTATCCATAGCTTCAGGCTACAACACACATGTGCATATCACCACAGCAACACAGGCTTCCTGAATGAACTGTAACATATCCTCACATAGTTCATTGTCTGCCACAAGCTAGAAAAACATTTATCACTTTCTATGGCAAGGAATCCTGTTGGACAAACTAATTAAGGTTTATAGCTTATAAAATGTGCCTTGTAATTAAGAAATGTCATGACGTTCCATAACAAAATTGCGCTGTCCAACCCTCATCCCTTTTTGTTGAGCATCAGTCTGCACCATCTCCAGCCAGACAATATAGCATGAAAATATTGAAATAAACTATTAATCAGCGGAGCCAGTGATCAGTGTTTGGTCACACCACCTGTTGGCTAATGCGACAACTTCTGAAGAGCAAGGAACAGGGGAGACTGTCAAGTGCCCTGAGATTTTTCTCTGCATTCCGAGTTATAATGAAAAAAGTAAGAACCAGACTACTCAGTCTGGAATGGCAGCATCTGAGAGTGTTTTTTATTCATTCACGAAATGTAGGCTTTGCTGGCTGGGACAATATTTATTGCCCATCTCTAGTTGCCAATGAGAAGGTGGTAATGAACTGCCTTCTTGAACAGCTACAGTCCCATGAGCTGTAGGTAGATCCATAATACCATTAGGGAAGGTATTCCAGGATTTTGACCCAGTGACAATGAAGGAATTTCCAAGTCAGGATGGTGAGTGGCTTGGAGGGGAACTTGCAGGGGCTGGCGTTCACAAGGTAGATCCTTAAGGAACAGAAAAAAAAATAAACTGAGACTCTTAACTCAAATTAAATTGCCAAAGGGAGAAATCAGATTTAAACTTGTAGGAGGTAAATTTACAATTACGTCAGGTTCCTCATCAAATTAGACCTGAAAATTGCTGTTTAGGATATTTGATGGGTATATGAATAGGAAAGGTTTCCAAGGATATGGGACAGGAGCAGGCAGGTGGGACTCGTTTAATTTGGGATAATGTTCGGTAAGGACTGGTTGGATTGAAGTGTCTGTTTCCGTGCTGTATGACTCTATCCCATAGAACCCCCTTATGTGTTACTGCCAGCTTCTTGCTTTTAAGTCTATTTTGATGGCATTGAATACTTTAAATAAAATTCAGATCCAGGGTTAAATGTTAGCTTCAGGGACGCTTGCTGTCTGATTGCACTGGGCTGCGAAGCCTTCACAGTTGAATTGCAAGTTAGTAACCACTATCTTGTACCCGCAGGAAGACTGTCCCTTGGGGTTCGGAAGCAGAAGGATGGGCAGACCCTTTGCTGGAGCTTTTTCTTCAATTAAATTCTAGGGTCGAGAGTAGAAAATCGGTGAAGTTAAAAAGGGGGGCTTGTACCGTGTTCCATACTCCAGGATTGCGGGCCATCGGGACCCCTCACATTCTCAGTCTGCACCGGGTTTTAAGAATTTGTATTTTCCTTTCTTTTGGGAGAAAGGGGTGGAGGTAGCGAATTGCAACATGAATGTAACACAATAACACAATCGAGACGCAACCACTTCCTCGGAGAGGGGGAACCCGCGCCTTATAAAATCCACAGCACCTTAACTTTTAGCTCATTTCGTTGGCCTGGAAAGGGGCAATTGGATTGGCTGGGTACGTTTCACAATCTGAGCCACGGACGACCCAGGGGAATGTTTTGATGGTGCTACATCGCAAGAAATCCCGTGGATTCTCCCCGCGTCCAAACCCCCGACCACCCCTCTGTGTGAGGAGGCGGTTTGGTGCTTGCCGCAGGAACACTTCCTGGAATGAAATTGATCAGCAATAAGGAGGATCGCAAAGAGACTTCGGGATCAGACTGGGCCAGAAGGAGTGCAGATAGATCCTCGATTGCAGTCGGATCTGAGACAACCCTCGCCACACTTTGTGCTCTTATGGCTTGCGGTCTCAAAGATGAGTTGCTCTGCTCTATCTGCCTCAGCATCTACCAGGACCCGGTGAGCTTTGGTTGTGAGCATTATTTCTGTAGGAAGTGTATCACTGAACATTGGAACAGACAGGACCACAGCTCCAGGGACTGTCCCGAGTGCAGGAGGACCTTCAGAGACCCCTTGCTCTCCCCCAGCCTCAAGCTGTCTAATATCGTGGAGAGGTACAGCGCTTTCCCCCTGGACGCCATCCTGCAAGCCCAGAGGAACTCCTTCCCCTGTAAGGACCACGACAAAGTCAAGCTGTTCTGCTTGAACGATAAATGCCTGGTGTGTTTCTTTTGCGATGAGCCTGCACTGCACGAACAGCACCATGTCACCAACATCGAGGAATCCTTTGAAGAAATCCAGGTACCTCTCTGCTACTGGCTCCCTATCTTCCCTCAAATAATTGAGAGCGCACTAATCTAAATGGGACTTTAATCCGAAGAAAGGCCAGTATGTCACATGCAAGTGGTGTGTTATTTGTAAGTGACATTTGTACCAGCTGAGTGTACAATATTTACTTAACAAGAAAAAAAAAACTGGCCAACTGAAGAGAGAGTTTGGAAAACTGTCTTTCTAGATAAATGTGGCAGTCAATGCACACAGATTCCTGTTAGTCTGATGCTCTGTACTGGGCGGGGGCGACGACGGAACGAGAACATAACTCCACCATTACCAAAATATATCCTGCCAGGCAAATGCTTTCCAGCCAGGGATTAATTGAACATTACAGAATCCCAGTTGACACCACTTGGAAAGAGACAAGATATTAATGAAAAATGTCTATGCCAAATCCTCCCTTCCTTGGAGAGGTGGGTAGGGAGAAGACTTTCTGAATCAGGCCAGGGAAGGTGAGGGTGATTAGCTGATGTAGCGTGACACTGCACCAACTTTGAGGCAGTTTTTCACACAGTGCTTTGATTTCAGACTTTTTTTAAAAAACAATAAAATCTCCACTTTCCCCACCCCTTCCCCAGCTGGTAACTTGCTGTGGTGCTTTTTGTACGGGAAGAGGTAAGTTTGGACAGCTGGGAGGCACAGATAGAGAAATCTTTGCCTGGCATCTTGGTTTGCTGGCTGTGCTATTTTTCTTCAAGGCTGAGTCTTGACTGACTGCATCTTGAAGCGACTTTAAGATGGAGCAGCAGGAGCCCGTTCTCATTCTCGTGCTCATGTCCAGGTACCTCCATCAGGGCTTACCGCACATTGACCTTGGAGAATTCATCCTTTCCCTGACTCTAGGCAAGCTGAAGCCATTTGCAACACGTCAGCATTTGTTTAACTGCTTTCATGGCCTCAGGATGTTTTAAAGTGTTTTTATAAGGCACCTCTGTTTGGAAGTGTGGTCTTTGTCGTCATATAGGAAATGAGGCAGGCAATGTGTGCACATAAACAGCAATGTGGCAATGAGCAGCTAATTGTTTTACTGTGATATTGGCCGAGGGATTAACCATTGCCCAGCACTCCAAGGAGGTCTGCCCTGGTCTTTTTCGACTAAGTGCCAGGGGATCTCTTCTTCCATGTGCCCTAGAGAGCAGTGGTTGCTCAATTTAAAGTCTCCTCCAAAAGATGACGCTTCTGACTGTACAGGACTCAACTGGAATTAGTCTATATGTGATACTTCAGTCTGTGGAATGGAACGTGAATCCACAACCTCCAAAGCAATATGCAATGCCGCTAAGTTACAACTAATAAATTAACTGAATAATAGACTCCAATGGGATGGATAGATTCTCAGTTACACAGGGAATCAAGGGATATAGAGAGCAGCAGGAAAATGGAGTTGGGTTAGTGTTATGCCATTATTGCAGTACATGGCAGAACATGTTCAGTGGGCTACATGGTCTATTCCTGCTCTTATTTTCTGTGTCATTGTAGTTCAGCACAGACTGGAAATAGAGCTGAGGAAATTACTGAGCCTCCTTGGTACAGTTCTACACTGTCTCTTACCCTACTCATTTCCTGATTCAGTTTTCCACTGTTAGTTAAGAATAATAAGAGGTCAATGCACTGATGTGATTGAGTCATGGCTGATGATGTTATCAGTTATATTCTGACTCCATCAAAGTTGTTTTTTTTTAGATCTGTAAAGTGGAATGTACAGCCTGTCAGTACCTGTTGAGGACAAGCCCAAATAATATTTAATGTAGAATTTTACTTTCCCTTCACATCTCCTAAAAGTGACCAATGGAGGGATTATCCATAACTTAAAAATGGCCCCCCACATGCACAGATGCGGCCTATGACATCAGCTAGGCTGTGACAGACCACAGGATGCGTTTGTGTCAATACTCATGGTGACATCACCCAATTAGGGAAGACTGGGATGGGAGGGGGATTTGGTGGGGTGGGGTGGGGTGGGGGGGGGGGGGGGGGTGGTTGGTTGTGGTGGGGTAGTACCTCTGGTAACTGACCCATGTACGAGTTTAAACAGTTTCTTCCTGTCTGGTTTGTTTTATTATTTATTTGTGTCACATTGGCATCACTGGCTGGGCCTGCATTAATTGCCTGTCCGCAGATGTCCTTAGAAGGTGGTGGAACCACTGCAGTCCATTTGTTAGAATCCCAATGCCAGTAGGTTACATGTTCCCATGTATCTGCTGTTCTTGTCCTTTGAGATGGTTGTGGGTTTGGCAGGTTCTGTCTGAGGCTTCTTGGTTTCTGCATTGTATCTTGTGGATGGTACACTCGGCTGTTACTGTGCGTACTGTGGACTGTGTGAATATTTGTGAATGTGGTGCCAATCAAGTGAGCTGCTTTGTCCTAGATTCTTGAGCATTTTTGGAAATGCACTTAATCAGGCAAATGGGGTGTATTCTATCACCCTGCTGACTTGTGCCTTTAGGGTGCTATTCAGGCTTTGGGGAGACAGGAGGTAGGTGAATTTGTGCAGGATTCCTAGTCTTTGAATTGCTCTTGCAGCCCACACCCATAGTGGTGCTGCTGAGTCACTCTATGATGGACATTGAAGTCCTCCCAGCCAAGGTTCACTGTGTGCCCTTGCCATCCTCAGAGATCCCTCCAAGTGGTGTTTAATATGGAGGAGAACTGATCCATCAGTCAATCTGACAATAGGACATTGTGTGCAAGGTATGCTTCTGTGAGTGTGTCGGGCTGTTGCTTGCCTAGTCTGTGATACATTTCTCCCAATTTACCAAAACCCATTAGGATAGGGCAGCAAGTGATCACTAGGCTTATCTGTGCTCGCTGTACCATCTGGCAATACAAGCTCTAACATCATTCTTCCCATTCGGAGCATCTCTTCTGTTCTGTAGGCAATGTAAAATCTAAACTTTTGTTGTACTGTGCATTGGATAAATGCAGTTCCTTATATTGCCTAGCATATGCATTCTTCTACTTCATTGTTTGAAGGCCCTGACTTGTGCAGTTAAAGAAGTGTGAACTGCTGTTTATTCAATTGACCATTTTTCATATACCAGCCTAAATAATGAGTGCTGGTAGATCATATGACAATGAGACCTTAATCCTTTGCTCTCCAACAAATGGAGCTTTGGTTATTGATCAGGAGATGGAACATCCAATTTTGTACAACATTTGCTGGATAATCCTGAGTGTGCACAGAATTATACTGACAACCAAACTAGGATTGTCAGTCAGGCCTGCATCATGACACGTGCGTGCTTGAAGCTACATATTATATCCATAGGGACCTGTTCTTTGCAGACAGAAAGAATATGTACATTCATTGGTCATGTTTCAACTCATCAAAATAGATGACAGCCATTCAGTGGTCCATTTCTCAGGCAGTGCCGTGACCAATTGTAGTCAATCTACTTGATTTGAAATCTTAACCAAGCCTGGCAGTTAACTGTCAAGCATTACCTGCTGCTTTCTCCACAGCAATGTCTCTAACAATCAGGGTCTGCTTGTCAACCAATCAATAATGTCCCTTCCTAGAGTATATGTGTTGGCTTACTTGTGTTCTTACAAGTTGTCCTGATGAATGCGAGTCAAAAATCTTCAACAAAATAACTATTTTTTTGGAAATACTGCACCACCAGATACAATTTCCTATGAAAATAGTTCTATTGGCTGTATCTGAAGCGTATTGCAGTTCCTGGCAGAGATAAACATTTTTGCCACAGAATATGTCATTCTTGGCTCTGACTTTATGTAGACTGAGGATTCAGTGCAACTCTACTGGCCAGCAATGCATTCGTAACATCGCTCATTGTCACTGACCTTCAGCCTGACAATCAGAAACTTTTGACAAGAGAAGACAGTCACAAATTCACTATGTAGATGCAATTTTGTCCTATTTTTGCTAAATCCACCAACATCTGTTGTGCTGTGATTTTTAGCTAAGACATTGAACAAGTGAGTACATCAGTAGAGTTGACAGTTGGCTGCCTCAATCCATCTTCTGACCTACAGAAGTGCTAATATAAGCAGACTATTTGTAGCCGAACTTAGTTGTTTGTCAAGTTCATGTTCCATCTTAATGCTGATAATCTTGGGGCGTTTTCAACATGAAGGGAATCTCATGTTAAAGATCTGTTTGGGATGAAGTGGCAATTTGAACTTGCTTATTTGCCAGACCTAGAAGGCACTTCTGCTACCAACTCAACACCTTCACTCGTGCGCTGGAACCGAAATCTTCAAGGAATCATGACTGGACACAATTGCAAAATGCAGATTTCTGCCACGTCTACTCACTGGATCTTTCTGAATAGTTGTAGCGAACTGGCAAGAGCTGGTGTTTGTGATGCATGGGGCACTGCTGTCCTAATGACTGAGTAACCATATAAACAATTCATGTAATTCTGCTACATTCTGCGCTGCTTCTAATAGAATTGTGCATTTGCAGAAGCTCACATTGCTGTTTAGATCCACCCCTTGCACTGCAACCATCCGAGAAGCCTGGTCAGAAATAATGGCCATGATTCATTGCTGCTGAGCCCTCAACAATAATATTTCACAAACTGATGTCGGTAAAAACAGAAGCAAAGTCTGAGGTGCAAAGAGGTTGCGGCCCCCGATAAAAATAGTGACGAGATTAACATTTATATCTCTCAAAGTCTTATTTATTGATGCTAAGAGTAACCTTTCTCTGCAATCCACCTCTGAAATGAAACTAAAACAGGAAAGACCAACCTTGGCAAATTTTATTGTGTAGTTCAGGTTTCTCTCACCCAAGAACATACGACTTTGACATTGTTTGATCCGCCAATTTAAGAAAAGCCAGTGTGCTGATGTTTAGCTTGACTTGCAGTCGGTATTCTTTTCAAGAGAAAATGTGGCTCAGAGCTTCCACCTAAAAAAAAGGGACATGCATATCTTATCTACTTCTACACTCTAGACACACACACTCGACACACAACTTTTGGAAATCCCAACTGTTTTGT